ACCCGTAATATTTGGGGTCACAAGTTTTTGCCATGAATATTTTGTGGTCAGAAAACAAAAAGTTTGGGAACCACTGTTCTAAATAATATTCAATACTGTAAACATATTTTGGTAGTACTTTACAATAACTCCACCTTACTAAAGTACTTTTATATGAACATTTACATACACAGTATATAGAGTAGTTAATTCAGAAGTTTTAAATATGATTAAGCAATGTTGGTTTTGGAATTAATTAGCCTTTATAGGTATAGCATTAATAAATGTGTTAATTTATAGCTTGTTAATTATCAATCATCTTTAATTAATGCTCTTTTCAAGTTAACAAACTGTTTATTAATGATTAAATAAGACAAAATAATGTGTAGTTTTTTGGAAAGTGTTATCCATATTGTAAAGAGCTAATTAAGCTCATTTGCTATTTAATTTAATCAAAYCTCCCAGTTTATTTTAAAACTACATTGTGCTCTTTGTCAGACCCCACTGCCCGCCGCACAGCCAAAGCTGGACCAGCTGCCCGCAACCGCTACGCCAGCCAGTGGACCCTGAACCGGCCCCAYCCCCCTGTCTCCTCCCACACTCTCAACACAGACTGGAGGCTGGCCACGCCCAGGGTCACCGGTTCTGTTGACAAGGAGAGTGACAGCTACAGCGTCAGCCCATCTCAGGACACAGGTACTAACACCTGAGAACTGTGTGTTAACTTGGTTTCTAACAAAAATAACCATTTACTTTGATGAAGTCCCAGCTCACTGACTCTGCTACTGACATTGATCTTTCCTTGAACTCCTCGTGGCGTCCAGACCGAGCCCGCAGCAGCATGGTGTCGACAGAGAGCGCTTCCTCCACCTACGAGGAGCTGGCCAGGGCCTACGAGCACGCCAAAATGGAGGAGCAGCTGCGCCACGCCAAGTTCACCATCACAGAGTGCTTCATCTCCGACACCTCCTCAGAGCAGATGACAGCAGGCACCAACGACTACACCGACAGCCTGACTTCCAGCACGCCGTCAGAATCAGGCATCTGCCGCTTCACYGCTTCCCCACCCAAGCCTCAGGACGTCAGCCGGGTCATGAACATGGCCGTGCCCAAAGCCCACAGACCGGGTGAGACCAGGCGGTCCGGAGCCTCAGCTGTGTTTGCACATGGCCACACGCTAAAGCCTGAAACATACTCGCTCCGACACCGACGGGTCGACGCGCGGTCACGTGGTTGTTCGGCTGTCGTTTTCGCACAGACCTTTCATAGTCCCTATGACATCCCCACGCCGAGTTCAGGAAACCCCCCTCCAACTGAACCATACGTCACTGCATGGAGTTCCCCCGCAACAGCCGATAATACAGATTAAAAAGTCAGACTCGTCACTCACCCGACGTATTTATCCACATCTGTCCTGGTTAAAGCTCCACAGTTTTTATCAGTCAGATTCCTCCGTGCACAASGTCTGTTTTATCTCCATTCATGAGTTTTTCACGGAATGACCATCTTTATAAAACTCTACTTCCTGATGTCGGCTCTGGGAGCGAGTCTGGGTTTTTCCCCCTCTTTTTTTTACAGAGTGCAGCACAAATAAACATGCCCATGACCAATCAGACCAATCACACATTACCGTCGACACGGGATGGGGGGGGTCAAAAAGTTCTGCCGGCAGGTTGTGCCAAAAGGGGCTGTGGACACGACACTGAGAAACCCGGTGACATAATTTTCGTCATTAAACTGCGACAACCCGTGCCGACGTCAGCAGTTCGCAGCGAGTATGTTTCAGGCTTAAACCTCACATTATTGTAACTAAAACGTGGTGTTGTAGAAACATTTATTAAAAAGGCAGAAACACGTGGATGAAACAAAGTGTACTGCGTGGTGCCTGTCAAGATGATTTAATAACACTTGCACCCCCACTTTCAGGATGATAAGTGCATTGCTTCCTCAGGTCAACGCTTAAGTATTCACTTAGCTGAGAAATGGCTTTGTTAGCAAAGTGTCCATCATTTGAGATCTTTTCAGGTATTCCCCAGCGGGGAATTATTTCCGATAACAGTAATCTGGCGACATCAGAAGCAGTTTGTGTAGATGTTGGGAAAGCTTCAACCCATTTTGACCACATGTCCACAAAAACCACACAATACTTTTTCCCTTCAGCTGGACTTAACGCAATGAAATCCATCATTAAGTGTTTGAAAGGTCGTGAAGGATGGGCAGCTTGAGCAGGTTTGATGAGTCTTCCTGCATTTTGTTTAGCACAGATCATGCAGGACTGACAGTAATTCTGAGCAACAACTGTGAAACCAGGGGCAAACCAGTAAGTATTTACCATAGAAACCATGCCAGATTTTAAAGCATGGTCCAAACCATGGGACAGTTTTGCAAAATGATTGAAAAAATGTTTTGGCTGACGAGGTTTAGAGTTCGGCCCCACCCAGGTGTCATTTTCAAAAGAGCAGCCTGCTTTCCTCCAGGCCTGTCTCTCTGGTGCTGTGGCAAAGCTTTGCATGTCTCTTAATGAGCAGGCTTCTGCAGCCTTATCTTCAAAGAATGTAAACACCTGCGGGCCCAAGGCCGCCAGCCTGGCAGCCTTATCAGCGTTTCTGTTTCCAACAGAAATTGGGTCACAGCCTCTCGAATGAGCGGCGCACTTGCAAACAACAATCTGTGAGGGCAAAAGGATTGCTTCCAGCAGAGCAGACACCAACCAGCGTATGGTTCAAGACTGGTGAACCGTCAAATTTCAGAAATTTTCAGTGTTTCCAAAGAGCCCCAAAATTATGCACTACGACAAAAGCGTACCTGCTGTCTGTGAAAATATTGACTCTTTTGTTTTCAGCCCACCGGCACACTTCAGTCAGAGCTATCAGCTCAGCTGCTTGAGCTGATAAACTGTGGATAAAGACACTTCACCTGCCTTGCCTACTGATGATGGTCATGATGGTGGTGCTGGTGCATGGCAGCCCCACCTCTGTCCAGCACCCCAGGGCAGCTGTAGCTTTAGCTTACTGCTGTGAATGTGCGTGGGTGGATGTCTGAAGTGTAAAGCACCTTGGGGTCCAAGTGGACTTGATAAGGTGCTATATAAATTCAAGCCATTTACCATTTAGGTTAGGTTAAGGTCATTGCACCTTTCTGTCTTGATCTTAGCTTTCTCTTCCATGGTGGCCAAGGCTCCTTATTAGTTAGTTGTAGTCTTGATCTTCTAGCCAAGCAGTTCAAGATCTTCTGTTGATGAGATGTATACCAGCTCACTGGTCTCTGCGATGCTTACTGGGGATACTAAGCAGTTCTGCAGTCAAATCTTTCTGATGAGACTTTGTCTCTTAGCCTTGGCAGGTGGTGCAGGTCATAGATTTTTAATGTGCTCATGCTATTGCTCCTCAGGTCAGCTGGCTTTAAATTCAGTGAGTGCTTTTTTCATGGTTCCGACATCCTTCCTATAGAGCATGTGCAAAGCATTTCAMCAGTACTGTACAAGAAAATGGGATTCTTAAAGAAAACAAGTGTCTTCCTGGATGYAACTCAGGTCTATKATGYGGGKGTCTCTGCAGTTGGYCAGGTCTAAGTTCAGCTCAAAGAATGAGGTCATCTGACTACCTTAATGTACTGAATGACCAGGTTATTCCATCAATTCAATTCAATTCAATTCAGTTTATTTATATAGGGCCAAGTCACAACATACGTTGTCTCAGGGCACTGTACATCAAAGAAGAACAATCTAAAAAAGAAACCAGCAGATGGTGTTGAATCACTTCATCACAGTCTCCCATCCTGAGCAAACRGTGGAGAGGAAAAACTCCCTGCTAATCAGGAAGAAACCTCCAGCAGAACCAGGCTCAGGACAGGMGRCCATCTGCCTCGACCAGCTGGTTGAGGGACAGGAAGGAGRCACAGGTAAACACAGAAGAACTGGTCCAGGTGCACCTTCTTCTGGAAAAGAGACAAAAAGAAAAAACATGTTATTGATAGAAATAATTACAATAAACATGTAGAGAAGAGAGACTAAAGACAACAGCAGAGTGAGGACATGTGTTCATTTTGTGCTCCAGCAGTCTAAGTCTATAGCAGCAGAAATGAAGAATAATTCAGGAAACCTAAGTCTAACTATATGATTTATCAAAAAGGAAAGTCTTCAGTCTCATCTTAAAAGTAGACAGAGTGTCAGCCTCACAGACAGAAACTAGAAGTTGGTTCCACAAGAGAGGAGCTTGATAACTGAAAGCTCTGCCTCCCATTCCACTTTTAGAAACTTGAGGAACCACAAGTAAACCTGCAGTCTGAGAGTGAAGTGCTCTGTTAGGAAAGTATGGAACAATAAGAKGTTTAATATATGATGGAGCTTGGTTGTTSAGAGCTTCCCTGATAGCTCTGCCATATTCCAAGATGACAATGCCAGGATTCATTGKGCTCTTATTGTGAAAGAGTGGTTCAGGGAGCATGAGACATCATTTTCACACATGGATYGGCTCCACASAGTCCWTKRAGAATCTTTGGGATGTRCTGGAGAAGGTCAGACTCTACYATCATCAATGTAAGATCTTGGTGARAMATTAATGCAACACTGGATGAAATAAATCTGGTAACRTTGTAGAAGCTTATCAAAACARTGCCACAGAGAATGTGTGACATRATCAAAGCYAAAGGTGGTCCAACCAGGCCGTGTYAATAAGAGAACTTTGACTTAACAACAAACTAGGAAGGCAAGAACAAARCCAGGTCCACTAATGAAATGACAAACTGAACCTCTTCTCTTGTGTTTAAAAAATATCAAGTGTAGCAGCAATCTCAGATTACCAGCCATAATCCAGAAAAACATATCAAAGTGATGAAGACCATAAAGTCAAACCTCTACGACTCAAACCATCCAGAAAGTGGCTGATCTAACAGCAGTCAGATGACARCAGTTAGCAGAACAGGATGCAGCTAATGTTTTTGTCTTTTCCTTTGAACTGACTGAGCTGTGTGTGTTTGTGTGTCGTCCTGCAGGAGGCGAGCTGGTTCACCTTCCTCCGTACCTGCGCATGGACTTCCTGTTGAACCGAGGCATGTCCTGCTCAGCTTCGTCCAGGGGGACAGCTAGTGGGGAGAGAGCAGCCATGGGGCAGGCGTGTCTCGAGCCCCAGAAGAGTCGCTCACTAAAGCGGCCCTCTCGCATGGCACCCCCAACGCCCACAGAGGCCCCTCAGGCCAGCAGGGACCCAGCAGCTCAGTGGCAGCCCGGCTCCGCTGCCACGCTCCCCCACAGAGAGGGCTCAGAGCTGGCCCAAGCTGCCAAGCTCAGYACCTCACAGGAGTCCCTGCTGGACTCCAGAGGACATCTCAAACAGAGCAGCAACCCCTACGCAAAGTCCTACACACTGGTATAACAGCAGGAGGACTTGGGGTCAAGGACCGGGGGCGGGACTAGAACTCACTCTAACACTGGACTTAACACTCAAGTGCAGTAAAGTGACTCTCACCACGCAGTTCTGTATATATGTGCCCTCCGTTCAGGGGCGGGCTCACTTTTACTAATCTTATTTTCTTTTCTTTTAGATGTTTCTTTTTCATCTTTGTATTTTTTTTTTGTTTGTTTCACTTTGGGAAAAAATCTCAGTCATCAGGAATGCCTCCAGCTGGAGCTTTGCCAAACTGAGTAAGAAGAAAGCGTTATTTATTCTTGGTCATTTGATATTATTAATCAGTGATAAYTAATTGTTACTTGTCAGCTATAAACAATATTTAATTACAGAGTATCAAATGATCTGTTTTCATCATTATGTTTTCTTAAGAACCTGGACATTGTTTCTGATTTTTTAGTTTCCTGCTGTCAAAAATGACCATTTGGAGTCATTTTTTTCCTATGGAATATCCTCCTGAAACACTGAATGAAACCTCAGGAGAATCTTGGAATGAAAGCAATTGACACCTGTCCAAACTTTTCAGCTGCTCTCAAATTGTTACTTTTTTGAGAATTTAAAAAAATCATTTTCCTATGGATGCATGGGGACTGACCATCTGAAGACGACGAGGATTCCGGTCATGGCTGGACAATCCAGTCAAGCATTTTGTCACACTATGAAATGATCCAATGTGAAGATTTATTATTCTTATTACTATAAATATATATATAAAAAGAGAAATCACTTTTATTTGTGGATATTACAGGGAAGAATTGATTTGGTTAATAAAGTCCTTAGTCATGTTTGCACATATCTTGTTTTAATTAGGAAATGAARTCTGTTAATCTTTTTCTGTGTCCCATACTTGATGGTGCAATATGAAAAAAAGAYATGACAAGTATATAAATACTACTGAGCTATAGTGTAATGATGAGAAATTACTATGTTGTGAGTATACTGACAGAGCTGGTCTGCTCCAGCTGCTGTATTCAGGTGTAGTTTACCAGGGAGGTAAATGATGTTAGCTAGAACACGGAGGGCTAGAGAGCTCAAGGTTTGCACTTAAAGGCCCCACTCAGTGTGTCCAAGATGGACCGAGGTCTGCAGAGACCACTCAGTGTGTCCATGGATGGACTAAGGTCTGCAGAGACCACTCAGTGTGTCCATGGATGGATTGAGGTCTGCAGAGACCACTTAGTGTGTCCATGGATGGACTAAGGTCTACAGAGACCACTTAGTGTGTCCATGGCTGGACTAAGGCCTGCAGAGACCACTTAGTGTGTCCATTGATGGACCGAGGTCTGCAGAGACCGCTTAGTGTTTCCATTGATGGACCGAGGTCTGCAGAGACTACTCAGTGTGTCCATGGATGGACCGAGGTCTGCAGAGACCACTTAGTGTGTCCATTGATGGATTGAGATCTGCAGAGACAACTTAGTGTGTCCATGGATGGACCAAGGTCTGCAGAGACCACTTAGTGTGTCCATTGATGGACTGAGTTCTGCAGAGACCACTTAGTGTGTCCATGGATGGACCGAGGTCTGCAGAGACCACTTAGTGTGTCCATTGATGGATTGAGATCTGCAGAGACAACTTAGTGTGTCCATGGATGGACCAAGGTCTGCAGAGACC